CTGGAAAGATACACCAAAAAGCAAAAGTACCCATGACTAATAACGTAACAGTAGCTGATATTCAACTATTTAAAGCAACTAATGGAGACTCTATAGTTGAATTTGATAGATACCTGTGTCACACTCAACCAGTTGAACAGTGCGTAAAGTTTATTACGGAGGATCGCTGAATTTTTGTGGACAATCAACTCGCAATGTTTCTATACGATGGCGTTTAGTCGCTCGCAGCATAATGCCACTTTTTAAAACTAAGTTGGACTATTGCGTCTCTCGATGACCGAACTACTAGTAGAAGACCTGACCCAGTGTGATTTTGACGAGTCAACACGAGACTAGTTTTAAATAACCTAAATATTGTAGACTATTTGTTAAAATCATTAGCATTTATATGTGCTAAAATATTGTTCCAAGCATTTGTTTATGAATGGCATGAGATAAAATCTAAACAAATAAGATTTTAACAGTAAACAAACATGGTACCGTACTAAACGCAAATTTAGCAAAATTGGTCAATTTTATTATTTTTATCCTTACTTTGACGAAATATACCTCTAGTAGTTTTTTTTGCAATGGCTTTCCATATGTATTTGTAAACTCTTTAGAATTAAATCTACTATATTCTTAATTATTATTTGGATGTCTCATGTACTTCCAACAGTACATTCGCTTAAACATCGCACAAAACGCAAACATGCAAATTTTACGTGCCGACACCTCTCCTCCCCCCCTAACTCAAAGCTTACTGAGGACCATTACTTAATTTTTACTTTATATATTTTGTTATATTACTTTTACTTACTCATTACTTAAAATATGTCAGGACAACATTCCTTCACTATTGAATATTTTTAGCAAGACCTTTTTTTTTCTTCATTGCAAAATGCCGCAACCTAATACACACACACACACACACACGCACACACACACACACACATATATATGTATATATTTATATATATATATTTATATATAAATATTTTTATATATATATATATATATATATATATATATATATATATATATATATATATATATCTTATAATAATAACTATTAATATTATTATTATTATTTTTATTATTATTATTATTAATATTATTGTTATTGATAAGTTACACGTAACAATATATGAAACGTAAGTTCATCATTAACTAGCAAAACTAGTTCGTATAGCAGCATTGAAGCAGCCATGGAAAATGATGTGTTACGTTAACTGTTTCAGGTGCCGGTCAAAATTTGTATCGAACTTTTTTAATGAGGTATTATTTACTAGATTGTTTAACAAGGCATTCCATGCGTTTGCTACAAAGTTGTTTAATAAGTTATATTGGACTTAATTGTTTCTGTCAATTTCACAATGGTACCGGATGCGATATCCATAACTGCGGGGAAAGTTAATAGGATTAATAAACTAGTTAACTAACTCGATTTTGTTCTCTAACTAAATTTTTTGAATTAGGTCCAATCGATTTCTTTGTTTACATAGAGAAGTGAGACTAAGTTTAATACATCTTGATTTATAATCAAAAGGCTTTATTTCTTGCGGTACTTTTGTAACACACCGTTGAATGCTTTCAATTGCAGAATGTCCTTTTCTAAATAAGTACACCAAGCGGTAATGAAAAATTCTAAAAGTAGGCGTAAATAAGTTGGATACCAAGCATTTTGTTAGCCTAGGAAGCAGCATTAGGTGTTTGATTTAAGTTAAATTCTGTTGAGACTGTTGTGTGAGCTCAATAAAATATTGTCTCACCAATACTTTATTGAGCCACGGTCATCAATAAAGTAATGGTGAGAAACGGATTTGGATTGATTGAAATGCATTATTTTATTTATATGCATTATATGCATTAGGTGTTTGATTTAAGTTAAATTCTGTTGAGACTGTTGTGTGAGCTCAATAAAATATTGTCTCACCAATACTTTATTGAGCCACGGTCATCAATAAAGTAATGGTGAGAAACGGATTTGGATTGATTGAAATGCATTATTTTACATATTTATTACCATAAGCCATTTTGAACCCAATAAACAATGTGGTCAATGTCAGATGCAGACAAAGCTTTTATTTTTCAGTGGAGACCACACAAGTGACATTTGCATCATCTGCATATAGTTTGCATATATTTATGCTACTGATTTGTTCTTGCATTGAGGAACGCCATTAGTAACCTTTTCCGAATCCGATGTGACTTTTCATTTATTGTTTTAAATAACCTTTTGAAACCTATAAAAGGGAGTTAAAGTTTTTTATTCAAAATGATGAGATTAAATAACGAGGGTAATCTCTAATTGTTAATTAATTAAAAATTACCCTTGGATTCATTAAAGTCATCTCAAAAAGATATATGCATTGGTGTTCTCAAGAATTAACAGGTACCCATTTACAATGTGGTGAAAATAATTTGAAAATAGGTTATGGCAATAGGAAAAGAGCTGTATAAAGATTGCGAAAACACTACCTATTATAATTTCATAATGATGCAAAAGAAAATTTATTCACACTAGGTGCAGCAGGTTAAAAAGTTGTTCATCCAATAATAAATACAATGTACGATAGGCAATGCTATGAGCATTATGGTTGCATAATTTATGTAATCTCTACATTAAAATGTGTTACTCGACAAGTCTAGTCGACGGAATAATAAATTTGGAGGCAATATTAATCAGATACTTTTAAAGAAGAGTGAAGACTATGCACCTCTATCGAACTGGATGTCAAACAGTAAGTACATGTTTCAAGAAATTATTAATGAGAAAATAGAATGATGGTGCCGCTAATCAGGGCATGTCAGGATATCTAAGTGGTGTTGCTAAACTTTTTAAAGGTCTTGTCAAATGAGTAATTTTTAATCATAGTCACGCAAATCTGCTCAACCTTGCTCTTCAGTATGTTTGTAAACTAGGTGTATGAAAGAGGGAGAGGAGTTGAACCATTTGTTGCTAATTTCATTTATTAGCTCCAAAGAAACAGGTAAGGTTTAAAAAATTAAAATGTTATATAATTGACGGAGATGATAAGCAAATCAATTTAAGCGCACCTTGTCTGACTCATTTTACTGTAAAGACCAAATCATACGGTATAATTCTGACAAATTTCTATTATAAGCCAGTCTTTGACTGGCTTATGATGTATTTCCAATTGTTAAGGAAGTCTCTAAATATATATAATTTGCTGATGTAGATCCTCAAACTATTGTCTCATTAATAATGTTAATAAAAGTTCATATATCATCTATGCGGTAAGAAACACGTTTTAAATGGAATTACAAACTGCTGTAGAACAAATATTATCGTCCGCAGCAAATCTTTAATACGGGCATAAAAGCTTTAGATAACATATTTTATTTATATAAATAATATATCCTATAATAAACTAAAAGCTATACTTTAACTGTTCAAATGCATAATAGAAACTCATAATATTACATGTAAAATAAACAATAAAAAGGTAACATCAATCACAAATATAATTGATGTGTTGAACGACACTAAAAGAGTCTAAATAATAAAAAGTTGTAAATCAAATAATAAGTAAAAATGCACCATAAAAAAATGCTATGAGCATTATAATTGATCATAGCGATGTACATTTATAATGTAATGCAATATAAAAGATGCTGTAAAACTATTTTATTTGTATCAAAACTGCGTATTTATATATATATATATATATATATATATATATATATATATATATATATATATATATATATATATATATATATATATATATATATATATATATATATATATATATATATATATATATATATATATGTATATATTAATATATATATAAATATATATAAATATATACATATATATGTATATATATATATATATATATATATTTATATATATATGTATATATATATATATATATATATATATATATATCTATATATATATATATATATATATATATATATATATATATATATATATATATATATATATATATATATATATACATATCTATATATGTATATATATATATATGTATATATATATATATATATATATATATATATATATATATATATATATATATATATATATATATATATATATATATGTATATATATATATATTCATATATATATATATATATATATATATATATATATATATATATATATATATATATATATATATATATATAAATATATATAAATATATATATTTATATATATATATATATATATATATATATATATATATATATATATATATATATATATATATATACATATAATATATATATATATATATATATATATATATATATATATATATATATATATATATATATATGTATATATATATATATATATATATATATGTATATATATATATATATATATATATATATATATATATATATATATATATATATATATATATATATATATATATATATGTATATATATATATATATATATATATATATATATATATATATATTTATATTTATATTTATTTATATATATCTATATATATATATATAAGGCCGGCGCGGTAGAGGGTGGGGGGGTCAATGATTTTTAGTCGGCAAACTCGACCATTAGTTAGCAAATTGGACCCTTTTAGACTAGTTAGTCGGCAAATGTCGACCCTTTCGATATAGGTTAGTATAGGTTAGACAGTCGGCAAAAGTCGTCATGACAGTCGGCAATTTTTGGAAAACGAGGACCTTTTTTCGGCTAAAGTTGTTATGGCACCCCCACGTGACACCTACTCGCGCCCTAATAAGTAAAATGCACCATAAGAAATGCTATGAGCATTATAATTGATCATAGCGATGTACATTTATAATGTAAAGCAATATAAAAGATACTGTAAAACTATTTTATTTGTATCAAAACTGCGTATATATATATATATATATATATATATATATATATATATATATATATATATATATATATATATATATTGCATAGGTGTAAATAGAATAAATTAACAATACTACTGTAAGTAGTTTACTTTTAAATTGTAGCAATGGATCAAAGCATAGGAGCTGTTTTGGGCCATGACGTTATAAATGGAGAGTTATATGCCATACACAGAAGCCAGAGGTTGTATTTAAAGTTTAATATTGTGTATAAAAAATGGTTAGCTGTAACAAATGATGAGTTTAAAAAAAACATTTTCAACAAACTTAATTGGAAACGGTTGAAAACATTTGAAGAAAATTTTGATCAAGCTGTTACTTTTGGAACAACCCAATGGATGTGTAGGAATCCATTTTTTTACTTATATTTCTCTGTGTATTATTAATTTAAGTGTAAAAAAAAAATTGTTTTTTTTTTAAAATGTTTATAAGTATTTAAAGATGTATTTTTTTAAAAGTCAACGGAGTTGGGCTGTATTTCCGAAAGTTCGGCGAGAGTATATGGATACAAAGAATAAAGTGGAATGAGTAACATTATTGGCAAGTCTTAACAAGAAAATGTTCTTAGAATATTTGGTTTAAATAACAGTATTTTTTGTTCCATGTTTTTTTACTAACTTTTAAAAAGACATTGAGTAAGTTAAATTTATATTTGTAAATATAATTATATGTAGCGGATTTTATCTAAACAGAAACATTTATTAAATATATGACAACGGTTGTTTTTCTTTTCATTCATTATTTAAAGATTTTTTTATCATTTTAGTTATTTTGTTATTTTTTTATGCAGGGATAACTTAAGCAATGTAAACAGTAGTATAAAAAAAGTAAACTCAAAACTAAAAATAAAACAATAAAAACGTTCATAAAACAAGCCCACAAATAGACCTTTAAAACGCAGACGTTGATTTTGAACTTTTTATAATTCTAATAATATTAAATATATATTAGCAGAAGCAGCCTGTTATACGGTTTATGGTCGATCTGTTACATAGTTATCATTTATACTGGGTGTGCAAACATTGTGTTTAATTTCCATGACCTTGTTTACAATCATTGAGCTGAAACATCAACTTCAAAACTATTTCACTTAAACCCTTTTAAAAAAACGCCTTTAAATTGAAAGTACAAAATCATCAGTAAAAACAGCATAGAAATCTGAAGAGTATACAATAATATACCAATATATCATGCATCGGAATGATTTACAACTGAAAAAAGTCATATCAGTTTGAAGCAGAACTCTATTCTTCAACATTCCCAAAGTTGGAGAACGCGTGTCTAAGCCTTTTTTTTTTTTACGTTTAAATATTGATCGCATTGTTTGTACTCACGTATTTAAATATTAGTTAGTTAAAAATCATGTGTATTGTTTTTAATAATTTTTTTTATATAAACTAAATTAATTTATAAACTGTAATGAAATACATATGGAAACTCTCTTTTTTTATTTAATGAATAAAAAAGATCCAACTTAAACCATCAGTCAATGTATAAAACCAGTGGACACAGGACGTAAAGAAGACGTCTTTATAACGTCTTCAGAAGGTCTTGAATGTCTTTTAAACGTTTTAAATACATTTTAAATATTCAAAAAAAGTATCTTTTAAGTCCAATGCCGACTGGGTACATTCCACTGTGCTTTGGTAAATGTGCACTTCACTGCGCCGTTCCCTGTTTAAACCAGTTAGATATATCCCTTAAATTATGTACAGATTGAAGCAATTGTGCTATAAAACTGTAAAAAGTAAAAATTAATGAACATAATTGTAAATAAACAATAATAATAGCTGAAAAATAAAACCTCTTTGAAATAAAGCGTAAAAAATAAATATAACATTCATCTCGGAGATTTCAAACCCGCAACCCTGCCAGCCACACTTCATTTTTAAAATTATTTAAAAAACGCAATACCACGCTATTATATCAAGTATGGAGAAAAACTAAAGGATTTAAACAGTTTTTATTATACATTATAAACACATTATTTAATCGTACGCACAAATAATGACTTTCTTTTTTATTTATATTTTTAAGCTACATATTTACACCTGGGAAAACAGGGCAACATTGCAAATCGGGTAAGATGGCTTTTCATATAACAACTCAACAAAAATTTTTTAAAAATGAGTAAAAACGAAATTATATTTACATTTTATGTTTTAAAACGATAACTAGTTTTTTTAAATATTATTAACGCAACGTTATACGCATAAGTTTACTTTTTTCGCCCCAAAAAATACCTCATTTTCGGTTATGCATAATGAATGTTGTCATTTGGGTGTAACTTTTTTTCGAATATTTTTTTGCGACGCTTGTTTATTTTGTATTTTTTTAGCTAGAGCAGTTAGCAGTTTTTAAATTATAGTAAAATTGGAGTTACAAATCGCGTAAGAAGTCATCTTGCCCCTCGCGTGACCATAAATGACATATTTATGAAATTTTTATTTCATATTTTATTCTTCTAACTGCAAACTGAAATATCATTCAAGCAATGAGTCATTATATATTATTATACCATTTCTATACAGACCTTTTCGACAGCAATTATTTCTATACGTATTCCTTATTTATTTCAACACTGTTTAGTAAAATAATCTTATTCTGAAAAAAACTTTAAGAGCAAAAAAATATACATGCGCACCTTTTCTACATACGTCGAGTTTATAAGAGACTTAATAGTTAGGTTTGTTTTTCTGTTAAATGCATTTCATTAAAAGCTCAGTGGTTAAGTGAGCTGTGTTTAAGATTTCCTCTTTGTTTAAAACCTCCTTATCAGTGTTTAATACCTCCTCTTTGCGTAATAAATTTTGAAATTCTTTGAATCTTGATTATATGTTTATAACAAAAAAAATTAAATAATAATATAGCAAAAAAGATTTCTAAAATTTAAAATAAAATTTGAAAGTTTCCTTATTTTATACATATACGCATTATTCTATATAATGCCTGGAAACATAACATATGCTAAAGACGTTTATACTTAGAGACGTTTCTGCGTAACGCCATAAAAATGGTCATAAATCATAAAAGAAAGTTCATCTCTATATATTATTGCTGAACTTAATAATGATTAGCTAAACTAGCAATTGAGGTAGTGTGGGGAATTATTAAACGTTTCCCAGTGACACTAATGAAATCACTTGTTTATTTTTAGTTGTTTTATTAAAATATGACTGCGAATCTATTATTTACAAATATCATCCCTTTTATATAAAATTCAAAATAAAAAAATATTATATTATTAAGTTTAAAATTACGTTGGCGTAGTTTTCCAATTTCTTTTAGAAGGCCGCGTCATTACAAATATATTAATGTTTATATTAAAATACAACCGTTAACTTTTGCTACTTATCTTCGAAGAAGTAATCTACGACACACTTCCCCGATTAAAACTGAGACTTTGGCATTATTCAGCCATCTCGTCGTCCATGATGCAACTGATTTTTAGTCTTGTATCTAATTTTTCCCATCCTGGTACTCTTTTTAGGGTTTCCTAAAAAGAGTACCAGGAAGAGTACCACTTGTTTACCAATTTCCACGTTCTTTTTAAATTAAATCATTCTCTCTGCCTCAAAATCGATTTCCAGGTCACACACTAGTTGAGTTGGTCGTTCAATTACATAACCTACATTACTTATACAATTACAAAACATTTTTAAGCCACGCGTAACTCCATCTTTTCCTTTCATTTCGCTTTCAACTCGTCCAATATTTAGAATTGCTTTGTTTTTGACATCCTATTAAATAAGTACCACGCTTTTAACAACTGGAAGTTTTACGTTGCATCTCTTTTTCCTTACTTGCTGTCGTTCTTCAAAAGCATGTACATATTTGCTCATCCATCTTTTTGTCATATAGGTCTTATAGTTTTTCATGAACATGGCTCTCCGTATTGCATAAATGGCATAGCAACGTGAGAAAATTGGAAGACAATGTTGAAAACAAATCAACAAAAATACTTGCACATCCTTGGGACAAGGAAACAGATCAATTGTCAAATGAATTCACTACTTGCATCAATAACGGAAATAAATGAAATCTGCAATCATTGTTTTTGACTTAATGGGATATAGTGCACCTGTGATAATCAATGGAAAAATACTATAGAGTCGACTATGCTTATTAAAAATTGGATGGGATTATCAAATACTGAAGGAACTTTTGGAAGAATATCAAACTTGGATTAAGGCAATGAGAAACAAAAGAACTATATTGATTCCTTGGTGTGTTGTGTCAGGAAGAGTTATTAAACTAGAGCTCCACGGATTCTTCGATGCAAGAATATTGTCAGTATGTGCATGTTTCTATGTTGAACAAGCCACCAAAATTCAAAACCACAAAATATTATATTATTAACTTTAAAATGACGTTCACGTAACTTTACAATATCTGTCAGAGGACCGCATCATTCCAAATATATTAATGTTTATATAAAGATACAACCGCTAATTTTTTCTACTTATCATGGGAGACGTAATCCACAACACACTTCGCCAATTAAAGCTGAGACTTTGGTTATATCCGGGGAAGTGTGTAAAAACGATGCATAAACTACAAACTTCTCAATCGTTTGTGTATTCAATAATTGTTAAACTTGGACCGGTTCGTGAAATATTTACACAGAGCAATGATGGATGGGAAGAATGTAGACTAAAGCAACTCGTTGAAAAGTTACAAAAATACATAAAGAGAAATCCATTAAACTCCGATTTCAACACTCAACAAATAAATATGATAAAAAGAACGCAAACGTTCAGTCAAGGTCATATGAAAACCGAATCAGTGCTCTCAAGCAACATAATAGTGGTAGTTATGATAAATCAATAATGATGACAAGTGTTGGTAAAAGTGAATGTATCTACTGTGGGTTACAAAGTCACAAAAGCGAAGGTTGTATAAAAGTGTTAAAAGTTTCTAGACACAAGGAGATTTTAAAAAATAAAAGATTATGTTACAACTGCATTAAGAAGATGCAGAAAGTGTAACAAAAAACATCACACGTCAATTTGTTAAAACGTAAATGCAACAATGGACGACAAAATAAAAAATAAAAAATAAACCATCGGAACGGTGTTTAATGCGAGTACAATTGTTCACCCGACAGTAATGGCAAAGATAAATGGTGAAAAAGCAAGGATAATGTTGGATACGGGAGCTGGTCCTTATAAATGTACAAACATGATAACAAAACTGTTATCAAGTTAAAATCTACACGCAACGAACATAAAACGATTGAACAACTATATGGAAAGGTAAACAAGCGTGTGGAAGTAAATAATGTTACGTTAGAATCAATAACAAAACCGGAATTGCATCAAGATTGAGTGCATCAATGCAGAAAAAGAAATACTGACCTTCTTACCAATCCAATGATGAAGGAGGTAAAAAAACGATTTGCAAGACTAAGGAGACTTAAATTTAGCAATGATGGAGAAGGTGATGAAATACAACCTGTTAACATAATATTTGGTCCTGCTGATTATCAATAAATAAAAACTACCTTACGATGGTTCTCAGAAAAATTTCGGATAATTATCCCGGAGCTGAATTAACTATGGTTAGATGGGCTCTCTCTGGGAGAAAAATAGAATTAAGTTCTGGTATTAAAAAGGGTTTTTTATTTAACAGTGGTTGTGATGAGATTGAGCAAATGTGTACTCTTGAAGTACTTGGATTATCAGACATAAACAATGAAACAATATTTCACCAAAACTACACCTAAAAGCGAAAAGCTACACCAAACAAACGAAGGTTATTATGAAAGTAGAATGCCTTGAAAAAAAGATGTTGTTAAACTGCCGAACAACAGGGATCTGGCAATTAAAAGATTAAAAAGTACAAAAATTCGATTGGAAAAACTTAATAAACTAGAGCAGTATAATGAAATAATGGTGGAACAGATCAGTGAGGGAATACTGGAAACAGTGCGAGAAAAACATACGGTAGAAATTGTTAACTAATATCCTCATCAAGCAAATTTCAAAACTTATAATGCTAAGAGGAGGTCTTAAACCCTCTAAAACAACACTGATGACATTGCACTTAACCACTGAGCTATCAATAAAATTTATTTAGCAGAAAAACAAACCTAATTGTAATATAAGTCTCTTATAAGCTCTTTGCGGAAGTATGCGGAAAAGGTGCGTATGTTAAGTTTTTTGCTCTTAAAATTTTTCTTTTAGGATAAACTATTTTATTTAAAACTATTGTTAAAAAAATAAAACTATTGTTAAGTAAATAAAGAATTAGTATAAAAAATTCGGTGAGGAATAGATATTTAAAAAGATTTGGAGTAGATTTACAAAGATTCGTATTTTTACGGGTCCGATCTCCGCTAGTTATTATGATTATGATTACAAACTAAATTACGTTTTATTAATAATAATAAAACGCTAATCTAAAAGTTAAGCGAAAAAAAATGCGCATTGACGTCGGTTTGTGGCAAAATAAACTTTTATGCGTCAAGTTTCTTTTGCATTTATCTTACATTACGTTGATAGTTTTGTTTTTGTTGCATACAAACGCATAAAAAATATAAATCTGGTACTGATATGGATGGTTATGTACCAAACCTGCCTATACAACAAAGTTGAAAAAAACGAGTTTATGTGGAAAAAAGATTTATGTAGTGTTTTTTGCTAACACCTATATACTATGATTAAAAGTGAACATAACTGCAAAAACTTTTAACTTTTTCGGTTTAGTGGCTTTTGTTAAAAACTTTTAAACTTTGCGTCTAATTATCTTGTTTCAACATATTCGTTGGATAGGCATGTCTGGAGCTTAACCATTCATGTATCATTTCAGGGATAAGAGGTTTTATTTATAACAATAATATAAAAAAAATAGTTTTTTACTTTAATAGAGTATATACCATAAATAATATACCCATATATATTTAATAAAAGAAGTTTTTTTTTTTAAATTTAAATAAAACCTTTTTTCTAGTTTGTTTTCTGGGTTTTTGCCCGAAAATGACGGACGCAAAATATTGTTTAATTTTCTAAGAATCAGAAGACGTAAATTCAGCAGTCAGAAAATATCAAAAGAGGGCAAATAAAAAATTAAAGTTTTAAATTTTCCTTTTGGATGAGACAAAAGGTTTTAACGACAAGATTAATGAGATCTTCTACACTCTAAAAACGAGTCCGTTAAAATTAACGGAATTTTTAACGGAGTAGTCCGTTGTTTTATAGCTGAGTGAGTTGTCCGTAAAATTTACGGACTCAATATTTAACGGAGTCAGTCCGTTACATTTTTTTAACGGAACATTACGTAAAGTTTGCAGATAAGTCCGTTAAAAGGTTCCACTTTCTCACGTTTTAATTATACGCTAAAGAAAGGACTTTTATGCAACTTTTTTTTCTTATGTTAGCAACTTAATAATTTTTTTATAAAACAAAATTATTAACATTAGAAAATGTTTATAATGTTAGTTGTATATATGTAACTTCCTCAAGTTTTCAAAATATTTATTTCATTATATTTAATCAAATGATGATTATAATATAACCAAAATGAATTTCACATTTAAAGACTTTGTATTGGCTTATGTTAGAATCAGCACAAAAACGTTTATTCAAGTTTAAAATGTATTTATAATACCGTTTATAATTAAAATATATAAAAAACATAAGAAAAACATATAATATTGAGAAAAAAATATATATATATTGTTTATTTCTTAACTATCTTCAACATCGCTTGAAGCTGATAAACCGATGCTGGAAATGAGTGTTTTTCTCCCAAATTGTAAATTAATTGTAAAAATTTAAAAAAAGTCGCACATTCTTCGGTATACTCTAAGTTGAAACACCAAAAAAGTTTAAACAATCGCTCGATACCCTCTTCAATTGATGATCCAGCTGTAATTATGGATTTTTCAGCAGCTATTTTTACCAATAAAACTTTTTCATTGACGCTACCTTGTATCAGAAGCAATGGGTATGGTTTCCAACAGTTTTCTGCAGCTTTTGTCATGGAACTTCCTGGCTGAAATACAAAAAATAATCATTGGGTGACTTAAAGTAAAATTATTTGCTATACTAACTATTTCATATTTTTATTTTGTTCTGCAGTATAAGGTAAACATAACACATAGTCATCGTGTACTATAAATACTTTATTAAACATGGATTATAAGATTTTGTATTACAATTTCTGGATTTATATTTGTATAGCATTTATTTCATTATACTTACGTACCAACAGCCCCATAAGGCATTGAAACAGTACAAAAAAATTAAATTAAAATTTAGTAAATGGAAATTAGTTATATAATATAGTTATATATAACATATATTATATTATATATTATATATAATATAATACAGTTAGTCACTATTTATTTATAAAATTATTACATAATATGGATGAAAAGGTTAAATTTTTTTTATCTAATTACAAATTGGGAAAATTATAAAAAATAACCTCAATAATCCTCATTAAATGGTCGAAAGACTCCAGTCCTGAAATCCTTTTCCGTTTCACGGTTGTTCTCAGCATAAGTGAAATAATTTTGCAAGCATGATACGCATGCCAACCTTTAAAATAGAATAATTTGAGCAGTCATGGTTTGGTTCTGATTTTTGAATAAAACACAATAAAGTTGTAATGCTACACAATATCAGCATTTATTATTTAAACAAAAACAAAGAGTAAATACTCTTCTCTCAGTTCATTTCTCTAATTACACTTTTCTATTAATCCATTCTATTAATCCATTTCTATTAATCCATTTATATTATCTTTTGTCGCAGTTCATTCCTCTTGTATTTTTTTCGCAGTTCATTCCTCAAAAAACGTTTAAATACAAAATCTAAAGAAAAATAATAATAGAAGAAAACTCACCATTATCGCCTCTTTTAGCATCGGCTGCTATCAGTTCTATTGATTTATCTCCTGTTAATTCCAATGCTGGGATTAAAATTTCTGTCCGAAATACTGATAAAAAATCTGTAGTGCAGTCAGAAAACATCATTTGAAGTTCGACATCTAACTGTAATATAAAATATATATTGCACATTATTATGCCACTTACATGCTTTATAAAATGTCAATTTCATGAAAGCAATAAAAAAATTCTTGTAAATCATGTGAGTTTTTTTAAATACATGTATTTCTATTTTTGTAAATTTAAATGGCTTTTCAAAAATGTACACTTAACACAAGTTTTAGAATACTAAATTATAAAATACTAAACTATAATAAAAATATTATTATAAAAAACTATTATAAAAATACTAAATAATAAATTTAGAATACTTACTAGTTCTGGAATGGTTTGAAATTTTGAATACATTTTTAATATGGAAGACAAGGTGGGTGATTCATTCATTATCCAAAATTGTCTAATGCAAAAGGTTTTTTCCAGACACTCCTTAACTTCATGCGTACGAGTACTTGATAAAAATGCAAGCTTTTCTACATCTCTTATATTATCATTACCTTTACCTACAAGAATTAAACATTAAAAAAATATATATACTTTTTATACAAATTAGTTATTCTTAATCTTGAATGTGCAATAAAAAAATGTATAAAACCTATACAAACCACAGCTATATATAGTAACAGACTGAGAATTAAAAAAAAATTGGCCCTAATTTAACAACATTTTCTAAATTATTTTAGAAATTAACAAAAGTCTTTAATAAACTTGAATAAGTAGTTTAAATCATTAACTACATTCTCTGTCGCAACAAAAATTATTACCCTTGCAAACAACACAATCAGTTAGTTTTCTGGGACACCCATCAGATGAAGCAGCTGTTTGGGAGGATACACAGGTTTCTCTATTTTCAGCAAAAGCTAAACAATTGAACAGAATAAGTAAACAGTATTAAATTAAAAGAAAATTTTATGATAACAATTCTTAGAACATAAAAGAATAACTGAATCAAAAAAATGAAATGTTCTTACTTAATGACTTTAGTTCCGATTTTTTGTATTTGGTAGGTGTAGCTTTATCACAATTTAGGGGTCTCTTTTTCTAGTTATAAACTTTGCGATTGTCTGGAAATTTATTAATAAAAAACATTTAATAGAATCATTTGCAATGCTAACATTATAACCAACATATTAAACAAGTATACTTACCATCCCAATCTCTTCTAGCATTTTCTGTACCCCGCTGTAAAAATCCTGAATATGTAGACGGATCAAAGAAAATAATTGCCTCCATACTAAATAGTTGCCCTAGCAAACTAGCAACATCTTCTTTATGCCTACGTGTAGGATAATTTCCAAAAACATTAATCATTTTACGAACAACCAGTCGAGTAATTGCCTGGCGAGCCAAAATAGTAAATACTCCTGTTTCTAAAATCGATTTGACATAATCTGTTGTGACCTCAAAAATAAATATACAATATCAATGTACTATTCAACAACTTTATTATTAGTCAAACTAAATTAATTAAAATACTGTTTAACAAAAATTCAAATTAGAAATTTTTAGTTAATTCTACACTTGACAAATTTCAATTTAAGTCAACACCTGAGGTATTTAGATATCTCTAAATTAAAACATTATTATAAACATGACCTTTTGTTACAAAAACGTAAGAAAGACTAACTGGATGTTTTAAAAGGTAATGTTTGAAGGTCTGCATACTAATAAAAGGATTCACATTGTCAGATTCGGAAGACCCAATGCCAATTGAACTAGAAGTTGAACACATAATTCCAGTTGAACTTGAAGTTAAGCACCCAATACCGATTGAACTAGAAGTTGCTTCTTGAACTGTAGCAGGAGTACATTGCTAAATAAATAAAATTACATAAACCATTACACATCAGGAATATAACGTAATTTTTTTACTCAAAATGTTCATAAATTGTATTCTTTAATTTGAAAGAATCTACCTGTGGCAGTCGCTTAGTCCATATCTCACCATTCACCAGAAGAGTGTAAATTAAACTACTTCCTATTGCTTGCATCATTTCAAATGAACATTCAACCTCTGATCCATCTTCCTCAACGACCAATCTTATTGAATCATTGGTGGAAAGGTTGAACTTTGTTTTAACTGTTAATAAGTATAATAGAATGAATCGAAATACACAAGTGATAACATTAACAAATAAAAGTAAATAATACAAGCTTTTCAAAATAATACTGTAAATTTTGATTTTTAAATAATTAAAAAAAAAATGGATACTTTATATAGGTAACTTTTAATGCTAGAATCTTATTAGTAAAAGATGACAAAATAAAATAATTTAAGAATATTTATTCAAATTAAATCATTAAAATAAAGAAAACTAATTTAAATTAATTTGTAGTGAGTGCTAATAAAGGTTATTTTCTCATTCTCATATACTACTGAATGTTTGGCTAATGGATGATAGTCTTTTATGTTACGCGATAGAACAACCTCTACCGAAGATGTTTCACTGACAACAAATGAGTAGAAGTGGTCATCAAAGCGGAGTGTTTGCAATAACTCAAAGACAAAGTAAATCTTTTTTGAAACTGAAATAATTTTCAATAGCTTTCCAAACTGTGGAAGACCATTTTCAAGAGAAACTATAAGAAAACAATCCGGTTTTATTTTATAATGACCAAAATTGAATGAATTTGCTACACAGATTTCATCTTGCATCTCAAGTTTTAGTGACAAGCACACAGCATAACTCACATTATCACCAATACTATACAATTTCTCTTGTATACAATAGCCAAGAGTTTCCGGTGATACATAGATATTATTAGACATCAAGGAAAAAGCAAGAGCTGTGTTCTGAAAACTGTGTTCTGGTTGCAATTGTTTTGCAAATATTTTTAAAATTTCTGACTGATGATGCTAATTCTTTGCCAAAACGATGCTTAGCTTCAAACCTCATGCACCAGTATCTACTGGCTGGTCCAAATCGCATCATAATCTCAGGATAATGGAGCAAAAAGTGATGCTTAGGTGTTAAACTTTTATTCGGGTACAGGAGTTTAAAATGTGTATGGTGATCTTCAATTAAGCATGCTAAAAATTGTGTTAGTGACAAAGTTATTTCTGGTGCAAATATTATTGCACAACAGTCAAGTAGCAATATCAATAATTGCCAGTGAGGTTCTTGGTGAGGTATCTTGAAGCCTATAATACTTGGAAGATTTCTAATAAGGCACCAGGCTTCTGCAGCTTTAATTCTTAAATTAGGTAGCATTATTTCAGGTGGTCTACTGTTAATGTCAGACAGTGAATATGGAAATCGATTAATTCCGACATTAACTTCATGTAATGTTACATAACCAATATCATTTAGTGACTGAACAATTAGAGTTATTTCATAAGGTATAACACCCTCAAGAAGATCATGCATGCTATCAACTACACTATTTTCAATGCAATGGAAATATTGGAGTTCATTTAAAACGCATCCTTTTTTAATTCCTGTTTCTGAAGGATTATAATTTGGTGTATGAATTTTAGAAACAAATTCATTATATTCTGCTTTAGTTCTTCGGTGTAAACTGTCACATCTAAATATCTTTTGACTATCAGTTTTATTAACTGTGCAAAATCTGCAAAACTTATTGGCAGAAAAACTTTCTAAAAACCCAAACAGTGAATGAGCTCCAAGATTATCGGCTGAAAACATTGCAA